CGCTTATAATAAAAATGTACGAGCACTTGCACAAAATAGTTGTTACAACCAACCTTTTGTTGGGTCTAATTCTCGTTTTTGTCGGTAAAAACGTCCTGGTGACGTCACTTAAGCATTTTTCTTATACTGCGTGCGGTCGTTGCGCGTGCGCACAAAGGAATGAGACCGCTCGGACACCGAGCCCACAGCGTGGTAGGGGTGGGGTTGCCCGCTCTTTTGTTTTTTACTACTACTACGCTGAATATTGTGTGCGGATTGGCTTGTCGTACAGGGGTACTACATGGTAAAATAAATCTCGGAGGCGAAAGCAGGATAATTATAAAGTAAAGTACCTAATTTGATTTAGTGTTGAAATAATTTTGAGACTATTGTTCAGTGTATAAATCTGTTTTCATTAGTTATTCAATATTCGTTTCATAGATTTAATTAAACGTATTCGTAGTCACGAGCTTTCTAAGCTCTATTGAGGCGGTCCGTAATGAAACATCCGTTCGCTAACAACCTATTTACCCACTCAAGTTGAATATTCCCATATTTCAGGGTAATATCTTGGAGATGAGCACCCTGCATTTGAATGAGGAATGAGGCACGCTCGTTTGGCTCTGTCACTTCACAAGAGCGGGGTAATTCGAGGGAAAATTGCAAGGGACGAAGCGCGTTGAACAAGACTGACGGCATTAGCGACACTGTGAAGTGTTGCCATTTCTTTTGTACACTAACAAAAACATGGAAAAACAACACGGAAATACAACACACAAAGAGGAATGAGCTAACCTTACATTTTAGTGACAGATTTGCTGTTTTGCAGCGTGCCTATTTTTTGCTTGTTTTATTTCATTAACCAATATATTTATTATTTAAAACAGCCTGAAAAACGAAAGACATGGGAGGTTTGTAAGTCCAAAGCTAAAATTTTTACGATTGGCAATACTGAATAAGAGGCTCGAGATTGAAGTAATTGGACTGGGAATGGAAGTTTAGCATGCCTAAGCCGATTTACTTCAAAACATCGGAATTGAAAGGGAAAATAAGTTCTTTTAATATAAAAAATACAGCCTTGGAGATATCTATAAATAACATATTCTGTAACCGTATATTTTACGTTATTATTTTAGGTAAATAGTAGGTTTAGATTCTATGTGTTATGGGCTCATTTTACGGTCCCTTGCTTCTTGGATAATTCACAGGAAAATTACAGAGCTAAGCAGTGAATGACCGTGTCGCTTATGTAGTACAGCCGTACAGCCCGCTTGTTTCCTAAAAAAAATCCCATCCAATCACACCGTTACTCGATGGGACATCTCTTTAAAATGTTTTGTCCCAACAATTTACACTGACTGCACTGTTAGTGAAAACGTTGTCGGAAACGTTGCGTTTTCAAAACGTTGCTGCTCCGCTTGTAATCGGCCAGTGTGGCAGCTCACTAACAGTGCAGCCAGTAGCGGTGTGACTCGTTGAGATAAAACATTTTAAAGATGTCCCATCCATTCTGGGAGTGGGTAGTCAATGCGAAAAAACGCTCAACGGTTGGAATGTGCAGGTGTCAAAATGTCCATACGGACCGGCTGTTAGTGTGGCAAAAAGTAAGAAAGTCGAAATGAGCAATGGTTAAAATGATCGGAAGTTAAAATGTCTTCGGGTTTATTCGAACAGAGGTAGATACCGAAACCAAGCAAGAACAAAATGGCGGTTTCCCCATCTGCATCATGATCACGCGAAATAACTGTAAATAAAACCCGATCCTCGACTACCTACACATTTTTACCAAAAAGCACCATATTACAAGTTACTAGAATTTGCTGCCTGCTGTTGTCTTTTCTGAACACTATAATCGAGCCTTTTCAAGGCGAGAGTGAATAGGCACGTACAGGGCATATATGAACCATCCTAGACTGTATCTCACTTAACACCAGGTGCGATTGCGGTCAAATACCTGCCTTGTCATGCATAAAAAACATTAGATGACGTTACTAAAAGGTTTCGAATACAGTGCAATTAGTTATCTATTTAATTTTGTAAAGTTAATTAATTTTTTTTTAAATTTTTTAAATTTAAAACGAGCCAGGATTAACTTGGTACTTAACAGCATCCAAACAATTAGTTTGTAAGAAATTTAATCAAGTGTACGAAGTTACCTGAGTAGTTGTCTCAGTATTAGAATACTTTAGTATTCACGTTAATTTCGCCGAGGAAACTTTTATATTAAAATAACGAGTCGGAGCTGGAATATTTGTGTTTCAGTTTTTTCATTAACCAAAATAACTTTTTACTGATGATTATGGTTCAGTGGTCAGGGTTTGGGCTCTCTCGAGTTGGGTATTTCATTGAATTTCGTNTTTTATAAAATTATTACGGTGCTGTTACAATACATGTGCCGGGTGGCCAGAGAGAAAAAGAAGCTTACATTGCCATAGACAAAAAATTATTTTAAGTTGTAATCACTAAAACGGGCCGGTAGGCGGCGCTGCCGTCGATTCCTAGGCGGGTTTGCTACAGTATGTATATAGTACCTAGTTACCCATTACATTTTCTTTCTTTCAAAGTTATTTATTTTCTTGGTTTCCGGTGCCTGGGCCCTATCTTACCAGACATAGATGACGTCGTCAGATCCTTTAGAGCTTATAAAGCTACTTGCACTCCTAGGTACCTAGTAGGTACTTGTGTTACATTACACAAGATGATGTAAGCCTCAAGTCATAAGAGCTTCACTTTAACTGGAATAAGAGGTTATTAGTAGAGATGAAACGGATATCCGGTAACTATCCGGTAGGCCGGATATCCGGCCTAAATTTACTATCCGGCCGGATACCGGATAGTAACTCACTATCCGGCCGGATACCGGATATTAAAAAACTACGACAATTTCCTATTAATAAAATTAAATACATTAATATTTGAGGTATAAACACCAATAAAATGGCTTATAATAATGACGGCTTTCATTTAAAGTCCAAAAAGTTACAAAAAGCCATATAAAAGCATTTAAAAAAACTAATTTCTTTTTCTGGGCTTATTCACTCTAATGACGAATACATAAAAAGTCAATATCTGTTAATTTCGAAATATTGCCAAATAAAACAAGCGTTTTTTTTAACTGATGTCATGATGTAGTTCAGTCAGATTACGCAGCAAGTAAACTAGTTTAATTTTCGCTATTCAATCACATACTCACGATGGCAACCGAAATCGCCCGAATTGATCTGCCCATTCTGATTCAACATCTGACATTAGGTATATTCAGACTGATTCGATATTCGAAAAGTGTGACTAGTCTACTAATAGACCCACTGATCGCATTCGAAGCACCTGTGCGGCGCTAAACTCGTCACGACATGCAACGAGACAATGGGCCAACTATCCGGCCGCCGGATATCCGGCTATCCGGCCTAGCAGCTGGCCGGATATCCGGTATCCGGTATCCGGCCAAACAACTATCCGTTTCATCTCTAGTTATTAGTGAAGCTCTCTTACTTAAATAATTAAAAATATTCCATCTGGTTGGTAAGTCATTTAATATCATTTATAAAATACAGAAATACGTCCACATAACAAACACTCTTTTACTTCTTAGCCGCTTTTGGTGGGTCTTTTTTCTTAGGGGGGTCTTTTTTGGCTGGTTTCTTGGGTGGATCTGGTTTCTTTGTATCTGCTTTTTTCGCTTCATCTTTAGCCTTTGCGTCAGCTTTAGCCTTAGCTGCCTTTTCAGCTTCTTTGCGCTGTTGTTCCTCAGCTTTCTTTCTTTCTTCTTCCTTAGCCTTAGCTGCAGCTTTGGCCTTGTCTTGTGCTGCTTTGATCGCCGCTTCTTTTTCCTTTTTCACCCTAATTTCTTCATCATCGATATCTTTAATTCTTTGCTGTAAGCCAGAAATGAAACCATCGACTTTGCTAGCAACAGTTTGCTCTAGCTTTTTTCCTCCTGGTCCATGGAAGAAGCCAAGGGTCATAGGCGGCGCAACTTCTGTTTTTGCATACTGCCATGCAGTCGCTAGTGCAGGCCTGGCGGCCTTGCTCGTAGCTAGAATACAAATAAGGTCTTCAGTAACGAACGATACAATATTTTTCTTTTTTTAAGACTACCAGATTTTTGATTCATTTAAGTTACTCGTTTGTTTTTTATGGACACCTCCCGCGGTCTCCTCGATCGTCGGTACCACCGGAGGACATCCTTTGTCGCACTTTGTCTAACTCTTTCTCAAGATATTTTTCCTCCCTTGGTAACTGCCTATTCCGGAGGTTTGTTATCCCTGAGACTATTAGCTCTGCTATCCTGTCGAGGACCGTTTCTACTTTGCTGACAACAATATTGCACACGAGTGGTTTGGCTGGTGTTCTAACTACCGCTGCTTTAGTGACTCCCCATACTCTGGATACAGCAGGATGAAGTTTTTTCAGGGAAACTGCGAACAAAACAAAATGCAGGCGTTATAAGACATTTTGGATACCATACAAGCCATCTAGAGTTGTGTAAATCACTCGACAATAGCTGTTCCACTTTGTTTTGCTACAGTTTCCTTGAGATGTGTTTATACACGTACCCAACGCCAGATCTAGAGCTATTCTCGTAGCCCTCGCCATTTACGTGTGTATATTTTTGTACCTATTTATCAGGAACTGTAATTTAGATTGTTTTGAATGACGTGCATGGTAATAAGTGACATTACAAGAGTGACTTGACCTTATGACGTTGTCACAGTAAGAAAAGTTTTTGCTGTGTTGTTTATTTTAATTGTAAAGTGTGCCGTAAATATGGCCGTAAAGGCCGTTGTAAATACAGTATTATTAACGGAATATGAAACCTGTTTGTATCAATAATGATTCGGAATCGGCTTACAGAAATCATAATCGCAAAAGTAATGAATAAATTATTTAAAATCGTGAGCTTGTAGAATATCTCTGTGAACTTCAATAGCTTAAAATGCTCTAGCAACTAGGGAACGAATAGAACGTTTACATGAGCATAGGTACCACCTTTATTATTTTTACGACTACGTATTACTTTCAGCTAACATAAGTAGTTAACATAGTTTATTGGTTTGGTTATGCTCATTACACTTCATTTACAAACATCGAGGGAGAATCGAATCCGCTAACATAGCTGGCTTTCTGGTGCTTTTATCCGATACTACAGACCTCCACTTTAGCAAATAAGTAGCTCGTGCTTAACGTATAGGTGAGTATCAGAAATAACAACTAAAAAACTGAGTTCGGTCATTAGAAATTTAAGAAACATGATTTAAAAATGAATAATACCTATTTATACATCTCATGATTCATGTTACCAAAGAATGGAGTAAGTATACTGGATTTTTTGATGCAGCGCAGATATTTTCTCGGTAACAATTTCGTAACGTGTAATTTGGTCATTAGATCGAGGGGCGTGATGGCAAGTAACAGACATTATTCATACTTCGACGGTAAAAAATACAAGAAGAAACTGCTGATTTGGGATTTCCGTCGTCGAACGCGTAATTTGAGTGCACGCCGGGTCTGCGATCCCGGTGGAATTTTTGATGGGTGCACAATATTATTGAGGCTTCACATCAAATACACCTTAATATTGTTGAAAGTTATAATTTGAATACAGTGCCGTAAGTAATCTCTAAGCAATAAAATAATTATCTGCTTAGGTAATTATACATTTTTAGCGTCTAACTCTCTGAATTTGATTTGTTGATTCATAATATGAATTGCAAAAAGATTGGCCTTTTTCTCAAATAAGTATTCGTTACAGTTCGAGGAAGGATCTGGCGAAGAGAAACATTTTAAAAGTTCCTGGAAGCATTTAAAATCCGACAGCATTCTTTTTATGGGATGCATAAGTATTTTGATGACAGACAACGTCTCCATCCCTAGTTAGCTAGTAAGAGCATTAAATATGTGAATTAATTTGAAAATCTATTAAAGTTTATAGGTACCTATTATTAACTTAGGTTTAACAGTAAAAATACTGTTACAGTAGGCCTACTTAATAAATGCAAGGAATTTCGTATGATCATTATACCTCAAAGAACGTTAACAATTTGAAAAAATCTTAATTGTAGCATCGTGTTCAATGCTCTGCTTTGTATGTTATGGCTGGTATGGCCTGCCTTGTAATGTATGGCCAAAAACCACGGTCGATGACACGACTTATCCTTGTACTGCCTTCCTGTGTAAATGACCCTTCCTTGCTGACTTCAATGCCGTCTTGTAATGGACTTATTACAACATCGTTCTAAAAAATACACCTTAATTACCACACGGTTAGATTGGAGAATCATAGCGGTGGCGTCAGAATTAAATAGGCGTAACAAAAAATAATAAAATCGGACGTTAATGTATCATGATTAAACTATTATTAATATTTGTCCGTTTCGCTACGGTGTTTAAACTGATTATTGACTGTATCCAATCCTTATATTCTTGTTGTAGAGTTAGTAAGTAGGTAGAGTCTGGTGTCTGTATAGTGAACTTACGTAATATTGGAGGGGGACATTCCATTTTACAAGTTTGTCTAGAATTATGAATACCAATGAAGCCTAGTATCAGTAACCTACAGCGAATAAATTGTGTATCCCATAGTTACAAAAACAAAATATACCTTTTAACTCCGGTATATTGGAAAGGGTCGTCCTCCTGTAGTGGAGACTACCTGATGATGACATAATTTAAGTTAGTTACTTACTTAGGGACTCACTTTATTTTGGGCTTTCCTAACTGATCGTGTACAAACTCCTTTTAGGAGAAAATTGAGGGTACAATAAAATTATAATTAAATAATAGTTGAGGTTTTTTTTTCTGTAATTCAGTTCAATGTTACTGTGCTAGACGAAAAGACCATCTCTAGTCCATCTACATTGATGAAACTGAGCTAACAATTTCATTATCCAATCATGATTATAAGACTTTTGACCTTTTAAAATGTAGAAATAACAACTTTTACAATTTAGATGAGCAGTCCACAAAATGTGATAAATTAAGAAACTTCTAAATTCGGATCCCAGTCATGAGGCTGGCATAATGATGATGAATGTCTGTGCTACTTTTGAACAGTTACATTACAAGTCTAATGGTCTGTAATAAGAGTCAAGAAATAGATGCTCTATGCTATGGAAAAAATCAAAAAGCGAATTCCAAATTACATTGCTCGAGGATGTAGGTCAATTTTAATCTAATGGCTGCAGCTATACCTATATCTAGTCTTGAAATAAGCTTAAGCTAAGACTCTAATCGAATATTGAACCCACTACGTTCCAATAGGATAGGATTTTTGCATCCGCAACAAGGAAGCTCTTGGCCTGCATCTCACCTGATGAAAATTTATGATGAGGCCGAAGGCCCGGAATCCTCTACCACAGAGGAACTGGCTATCTTACCTCTGACTGCCAACAATGCTGATAAAATAATCTCTAGAATTTAAAAAAGTTATATTAACATACCTACCTAACTCATTAATTTTCTGCAAATACTTTTATGAAGCGCTTTTACGTTCCAGTGTAACCCTACCACTGCTACGGCATATTGAGTGGTCCATTATGCAGAATCTTACCAAATCATTGCAATACTATCAATATTTAGCATCTAGACTTTAGAGTCTGGAATATTACAAATACTTAAGGTTACGTCTCTACATTAATCATGACACACTCAAATTACTATCTAATCTGTTTTGTAATTCTTACGTACATTTATGTGCTTCTTTATTTAGAATCATTATCGAACAACTTATTTTACTTAGGAACAACTTACATTAGTGGCAGCAAATAAGCTATGACTAAATCGATCGAACTCAATAAAATCGGTCTGGCAATATATTGCGAAGATTGTTTGTGTGGTGACGGCAGAGTAGAATACATTTGTCACCAACCCCTACTCTTCCCGCGGGTGTCGTAAGAGGCGACTTAGGGACTACACAACAAACAGAGAATGGGCAGCAGCGCTCTCTGAAAAACATCAATCTTTTAAACTGCGATCTCCAACCCGCCTGCCAAGCGTGGAGATTATGGCAAATCCCTCCACCATAGTGGAGGAGGCTCATAGTCCAGCAGTGGACTGTAAAGGGCTGTTGATGATGATGATGATGAATATATTGCGAATAACTCATCATAAGAATATTAGGCAACTGCATCTTATTTGCTGAACAAAACAATGACCTGAATCAATTGTCTTTTATGTAATCGTCATAAAGTGAGTTAGTACTTACTTATTCAATACTTATTACATTAAGAAATTTTGATTTGCCGACAGCTTTTATGTAGCAAAACAAAAAGCACTAAATAAATTTAAAAAAACCGGCCAAGTGCGAGTCGGGCTCGCACACCGAGGGTTCCGCCGTACAAACGTAGCGGTTTACAATATGACGTATTAAATCAAATTACTTACTTGATTCCGTTGCGAGTAGTGGCGAATTTCAAAATATGCGGTATGATTATTTTTTATTTATTTATTTTTCCTATATTTGCATTATAGGTAGGTACCTACCTCAGCGTTTTGAATTTTTGCGTTGATTTAGAATTTCTCACAGTTTAGAGGCAATTAGATTTAAGAAGTGTTTGATATGAATTTCAACTTTAATATCTCTACGCGTTCATGTGAAAAAGGGTAGGTAGTAAGTTTATAATTATTAAAAAAATATTTTATGTCATGTAAGCAAAAATAATATTTTAAATTTTATATAACTTCAAATTTATCATTTTCGCAATTTTTCCTTTATCTGTACTATATAACGTTGCTTCGTGCCGAATTTCAAGATTCTGAGTTCACAGGAAGTACCTTGTAGGTTTTGATTCCCTAGCGTGTGACGGAAATTCGTCTAAGGTGTCGGTATAAACTGCTGTATCTTTTGATCGCGTTAACTTAGAAGTTTGATTTTTTTACTTCTTAAAGGGACAATAGATCTAGGTATTTGGTATAAATTTCAATTTGATACCTTTATTCGTTCGTGAGAAATAAGGTAGTAAGTTTCATTTTATTAAAATATTTTTATTATATTATATAACTAAAAAAATGAAATTTTCGCAATTTTTCCTATATTTGCATTATATGACAATGCTTTATGCCAAATTTAAAGATTCTGAGTTTACGGGAAGTATCCTGTAGGTTTTGATTCCTTTGCGAGTGTCGAAAATTTGTTGAAAATATCGACATAATCGGCTGTATCTTTTGATTGGCTTGGCTTAGAAGTTTGATATTTTCACAGCTTAAAGGGACAATAGACCTGAGTATTTGATGTGAATTTCAGCTTGATACGTTTACGCGTTCTTGAGATAAAGGGTCTTGACAGATGGACGGACTGACAACAAAGTGATCCTATAAGGGTTCCGTTTTTTCCTTATGAGGTACGGAACCCTAAAAAATACCATGACGATGTAACTATTTTTAAAATAACATGAAAAAATCGAACTTCTTAAGGTGGGAATCGAACCCTTAGATCAGATAGAAGAGCAGTCGCCCGGCAAGCGAAAGGTCGTGGGTTCGATTTCCACCTTAGGCAGTTCGATTATTTCAAGTTATTTTAAAAATAAATAGAATTGTACCTAATGAGTCGTGCTTACGTCTCAATATAGCTTTGACTCTACCTCGCTTCGGTTAACTCCAGTAGTAAATACCCAGTAAATAATTAGGTACTGAGTGTACTAAAATGATAGTCATAACTCTGTTACCGCAAGACC